ATCTTTCTTCTATCATTGACAGTCCCTCTAGGTTGTGGGCTGCTTGCCTGTGTTCCTGAGAAGCATCTACGGTACCAGTCTATAGAGTGTGTTTTCTTTAGTGAATTACCGGTATGTTTACCGGTAATAAACTTGCACTGTTTTATGTATATGTTTGATTACATACAGCCTTGTGACAGTTTTCCTGCATGTCATAAGCATTTGAATATAAATTAAAATGTTAAAATCAAATCTGATATTGTTTTACCTTTTATTTGGTGTGTGGAAGGTGTGCGGAAGAGGGGGTAGTCTTATACGGCGAGTATATAACAAACTCTGTATTTTGAGTGGAAATGTTAGGGGGTCGTCTTATACGCCCAGTCGTCTTATACGCCGGCAAATACGGTATTTAAAAACTAGAACTACTCAATAGGTAAGAAGGTCTCCTCAATGTCCTGGGTTTACTTGATATAATTTAAATCTTTCTGACAAGGGTTCTGGACCTATTCTATTTCTAGACATTTACCCCATTCTCTAAATCATTGTCATTAGAGCTCAGTAATAAATCTCATATCTGAAATTTTGTTTCATTTAGTATTATGAAGTAATAACAGCTGTACAAGCAGAGTTTATCATAATGTAAATTTTTAATTTCTGAAACTTTATTATGGTTTTTGTAAAGACACATGAAAATGCAATTATGTCTGATTTGTAGATATTAAAGAACTTAGCTAATTGAGTTATCTATATGCAACTAAATTAAATCTTTACTACTGAGCCCTAAATATTTTTTTGCTATGTTTCTCTATATGGTACACTTTATGTAGTTTAAATTGCACTTAGGTGGTATAAAATGCCTTTTCACTTTTTTAATCCTCATAGATGATATTTTTTCCATTGATTTTTAGAGAGTGGAAGGTAGGGATGGAGAAAGAGAGAGGGACAGAGAGAGAGAAACATCAATGTGACAGAGACACATCCATTGGTTGCCTCCTGCACGCACCCCAACCAGGCTGGGAATGGAACAGGTAACCCAGGTACGTGCCATTGACCAAGAATGGACTCTTTGGTGAGAGGGCTGACGCTCTGACCACTGAGCCACATGGGCCAGGGCAAAATGCCTTTTAATGTAAAGTATTGTTTTGTTTAATAATTATGTTTTCCCTGTAGACTCTGGTTATTAATGAACTTGAATTCTGTTTTCAGCTTACATATTTAGTATCACATCTTTTAGAATTCTAGTATTCAGCAAAATAAGCTGATATTTGGTGGGGGAGATATTAGTTAGGTGAACATTCAAGAGATATCGTAGCAGGAACTGCACAGGCTACAGCCTTGAGCCATGTGGATGTCCACATGAATGAACTAAGGTGGCAGTAGATTCGGTGAGGCACATGGTTGTGAAAGAAAAATAGTGTGAGATAAAAGTCACATTGAATTTTAGGAACAAGTACCTAACTATGATACTTTTTACAGGATGGTTACAGTTATAGCACAGTCTGTGTGTGTAGAGTGTCAAAGACTGACTGCCTATGTGTTGATGTTTTTATTCATTCTCTAAGGGAAAATGCCACTTTGTCAAAGTCAGTCATGTCCAAGAAGGGGATGGTTAGGACAAGATATTGACAGCATTTTGGAGTGTGAGTTTAAGCAGCTAAAGGAGGTCTTTTAATGTGAGAATCTGACTGAGATTGGGCAAAACTTGGTAATAGATTAGGTCTTGAAGCAAGTCTTGATAAGTAGACTATTGATTGATAAAGGACAAGTGACCTTTTTGCCCGGGGAATCAATCTGTTCTGATAGAGGAGTTATTTGCCCATGGGAGCAAGCTTTCAACAATTCCCTGAAGCAAATAGTTAAATTATTTATTGGTTTATAGACTTATCTTTCATAGTTAACCAATCTGTCCTAGTTTTTCAGGCACCACGGGGGTTCTTGGAATGCAGACTTTATATTTTAAAACAAGGGCAACAAATTATTTAACTACGTAAATTACTTAACTACTAGAGGTCTGGTGCACAAAATTCATGCACGGGTAGGGTCCCTAGGTTTGGCCAGCAATCAGGGCCAATCAGGGCCTTCCAGCTACAAGCCTGGGCCTTTCTTCCAGCTGCTGGCCAGGGCTTCCCTTCCCCGGCTGCCGGCTGCCGGCTGGGCCTTCCCTTCTCCAGCTGATGGCTGGGGACTTCCTTTGTTTTGTGCCACCCCCTGGTGATCAGAGCACGTCATAGCAAGTGATCATTCTCCTGGTCGAACTACTGCTGGGACAATTTGCATATTAGGCATATATATAGACTAGAGGCCCGGTGCACAAAAATTTGTGCACTCAGGGGGGAGAGGGGGTTCCTCAGCCCGGCCTGTGCCCTCTTGCAGTCTGGGACCCCTCAGGAGATAACGACCTGCTGGCTTAGGCCTGCTCCCGGGTGGCAGAGGGCAGGCCCAATCCAGCTTAGGCCTTCCCGGGTGGCAGAGGGCAGGCCCAATCCCTAGATGCAGCCCCTGGTCCGGCTCAGAGCAGGGCTGATTGGGGAGTTGGGGCGCCACCCCCTGTCATGCACAGAGCAGGGCCCATCAGGGGGGTTGGGGCTCTCTCTCACATATACCATAAACATATTTTTATTTGTTATGGGTCAGACCAGGTACCACACAATAAGGAAACCTTAAAATGATGGTGACTTTAATTGGCCTAGAAGTTTCTTTGTGTCATCCAGCCACCTAGAGGCAAGTAGGCCAGGGCAGCTGAGGCCCTGCTATGGCATTGAAAGTTGGTCCTGTCAGTGCCTCTTCCAGCCAGCAGAGGGGGCAAGTGAGTCTTTAGAGAGGACCAGAAGTTATGCCCCTCAGTATTGCTGCATGCAATCATCTGGACTTAACCAGATGGCTACCCCCAGCTTAAGGGAGGGTGAGAAATACCGGTGCACAGCTCAGATTCAGGGGATTTATTGCAAAAAGGAGAGGATGAAGGGTATCAGCCCCTTCTACACTCTGCAGCCTATTTTCTCATGTTATGTTGTGGATAAGTCATATGAGCAGAGTGTTGTCTGTCTGCATTTTTGTGGAGAGTTTTTAGAGCCTGACACTCCCTAATTCCCATTGAGAATAGTTTAATTTCCTCCAGGCTTAGCTCTTTGTTTGTATTAATG